AAGGAAAATAGAGTGGATGTCATTCTGTTAAGACTCACGAATTATCACGTGTATATTTTTTAATTATTAGATTAATACGAAATTACTATTGCTAATCAATGCATAGTAAGTTGACACATTTACCATTGCTGTTTAGCCCATCAGAACCCGAACCCAGCCTCCAATCCTAAACAGTAATTACATAAAAGAAAAGAATAGAAAGAGGAAGCCAAATCGCCTGCCCAAATAACAGAGAATTACCACCATAGTTCCTTAAGACCCTTCCTCTGAAGAAACCCTAATATATTTATTTAGAATAAAAAATCATCAGAATAAATTAATGGTATTCTTTGTTAAACTGCAGTAGGAAATAACTGGACTGATGTAATTGAAGTAAAAGGTAAGCTGCAACCGAACGAAAATGAGCTCTGAAGAGAGAAAAGAGGTAAAGCATAAATAAAAGTGAACTCGAGGCATATGGATAGAAATGTTTTGGGGTGTTTAAATCAATAGGAAATAAAATCATTTGAAAAAGTAGGCAAACCAACATGTAAATTTAATAAATGGATGAACATTGAACCTCCTATGCCAACACAAAAGTTGTAAAGAAAATCAAGGATATAAACTTTGTTCCATGTCTTATAAGCAATACCATTATTGATGTTTCTCAATATTTTGTAATAGGAATAAGAGGAAACAGAATCATTGTTCTAATTAAATTTTTTTTATATATATTTAGAGAAAATGAATTTAAATTTAATTTTTTTTATAAAAAAATCACGTACCAATAAGTGAATGAGATGTTCGGATGTGACAATAATAATAATATTAAAATATTTATATACATAGAAGAGGTACAACATTTTAATAACAACAATAAAATAAGAATGATAATAATAATAAACCACACTAAACAGTTTCATTGATATAATGCAAGAACTCAATCTTCAACAGTAGACTTTGCGAAACCGGACGACTATCACGAACATGCTGCATGCAAACAAATTTTCCTGCCATTTGGAATGAAAATACACTTTAGAAGCAAGTCACGAATTCCAACGTAAAACAATATTCACATAACAATATGTTGTTCCCGCGCGACATTAGGTGAATGTGTTCAGAGAGGTAATGCTAATAATAAAAAAACACATGGCGGCTGAGGAAGTTATCTAGCTAATCATGAAACCATCAAATAATCAACATTATAATATTTGATAATTAGGATAATTATATAAATTATATAGTTAGAATTACAGTACCGCACTATTATCTAATTAAATAATCGAATTTCATGTCTTATAACTAATACATTTATTCAGATTTTCCAGTAGTTGCTCGTCGAGAAAAAGCAGAGGAAACAGAGTCCCTGCTCACGAGTTACTATATCCTGTATTCCAATCTGCAGCGTCGAAACCCAATAGAAGGTTCCTCAGCTTGCACTTTCATGATTGCTTAAACTTCTGGGTAATCCAATGCGTTAATTTAACCTCACACACTAACAAGATGAAACAAGGTGACGAAACAAATCGGAGCGTAGGAAAGGTTACTAACCAATTATGACAAAGAAGGAGAGGAGCAGAGGCCGAAACTCTAACAAGACGAAACAGGGTGACGACACACACAGGAGCACTGAAAAGGGTAACATCCGCATGTTCAGATTGAGGAACAAGAAATAAAGAAAAGATTACTAAGCAGTTATTACAAAAAAACAAGTAGAGAGCAGAGACCAATACGCTGACAAAATGAAACAAGGTGACGAGACAAATCGAGGCACTGAAAAAGGAAACACCAGCATATTCAAATTAAGAAACCAAAAATGGGTAATGAAAAGCTTACTAAGCCGTTATTGCAAAGAAGTAGAGAGCAAAGATGGACACGCTAGCTAACATGATGAAACAGGGTGACGAAAACAAACCAGAGCATTGAAAAAGAAAATACCTGCATAGTCAAATTAAGAAGAAAAGAAAATGAAACTAAAGAAAAAGGTTACTAACGAGTTATGACGAAGAAGTAGAGAGCAGAGAGCGATGTCATCCTGGAGCACCTATGTCTTCATCAAGCTGGATAGCCGCTTCAACATCAGGTTGATGGCGAGGGAAACATCTCCGCAACAAGAAGGTTAGGACAAGAACAAATGTAGCAGACAAGAGCAAGATTAGTGTTGCTCCCACGCCCTTAACCTTGACGGATTCCGAGATCGTAAAACTCCACGACGATGATGGCGTGCTGTTGTTTGACTTCATTTTTTTTCTCTCTCTCGCTCACCTTTTTTTTCTTTGCTGAGAACTGAGGAAGAACCCCTCGGCCTTTTATAGTGCACATCCACACACTTGATCACGAAGGAGTGTTGCGACGTTTGTGAGACGGAAATTACAATAACAACCCCATACACCAACTTCATTGATACACTTGCATGGTTACCAAATATTTTTATTCTTTCTTCGTTCTATTCTAAGAAGAACAACGCGTATTACTCTTTATGGATAAATGAAAAGAGAACAATGTGGCCCACAACCCATGGGGTACACCAACTCTAGCCGGGGTTGGTGGGAACCAAATTTACATGCTTGGTTGTCTACCGGCAGAGTCTGTTGGGAAACCGGCTACAGCCAGTTACCAGGGCATGAAGTTGGTGTCCTTATCAGGCAAATCCCCAGCGATTCATTTCACTGCCTACAGGAGAGTCGGTTAGGTACCATCTACAGCCGGTTACCATGGAAGGTTGGTGTCATTATCAAACAAAATCTATTGCCTCGAGTTTTTCTAATAGACCCTTTTGCCCTCTCCCACCGTCTCCCCCATTTTGCTAAAGCACGATTTAAAAATATAATTAATAATAAAATATTGTTTTATCATTTTAATAAATAAATATATATTTCTATGACCGTTATGAGAAGAGCAACAACCTTTTGCAAGAGTAAGGTTGGTGAGATTTGATAAGTTAAATGATTGGAATGTCTTACATGCTTCTACGGATTTTGCAAAAAATAAAAGAGAGGTGGAGCCAGCCATATCTATGTCCATAAATGTTTTGGGGCGTCTAAGTCAAACGCAAATAATATCATTCTAAACGTAGGCAAATCAACATGCAAATTTAATCAATGATTGAGCATTGAACATATGCCTACACAAAACCATGTTTCAAAATTTGTTAATTATTAATCTCGATACTTGATTTTAAGATCTCTTATCATTAAAGTGAGTAAATTAATCAATTGAATTAATTCCAAAAAATCATCAATAATATGTTTGATTTACACATTCACCGGCAGTCGGCTTCCCAAGCACTAGGCGACAAATTGGCATTGGATTGAAATTTCTTTCAGGTTGAATTCGGGTTTGGTGGTGGGATGAAAGAGTGGAAGACAATGCGAGAACTGGCTTTGATAGGATGCTGGTACAGGTCTCCGTGGATTGTTTTAAACGCTAGGAGTGGCTCTCTCAAGGACGTTCCACATGAATGATGCTGCTATGTTCCGTCTGACTCCTGTTACATTGGGAACTTGTTTTATTGTGAGTTTGATTAAGTGGGAGTCCAATTGTTCTTCACTTGCTTTTGTTTTTTATTTACTCAGTACAAGACATTTGGGGATTTTAATGATTTGGACAGGTGACATAATCTTGGGATTGAGACAAAAATAGGGCATCAAGTCAGGGCAGAGGATTTGCGTTCGTTTAGAATAGATTTACTATAATTCTTTGTTTTCTAAAAATAAAACAAGTTCAAAATAAATTAAAAATTATTTTATCAGATTTCTATAAAAGATGTAACTTCGTCTAATAATACTAATAATAAATCTATTATTTCTTGAAATAAATTTCAAGTCTTTCATCTATTGATTCTTTTTTTCAAAAATTTTAATAGTTAATCTTTAATTCTTAGTTTAGCGAATTAAGCAAGTGATTTAATATTTCTTTAGTATTTTTATTTTTTTAAAAATAAATTTTAATGTGAATTTACTATTATGTAATATATATTATATTTTTTTATTGATTTATTATATCGAGCATGTAAATATATATAATTATATATGATTTATTTATTTTGGTGTTAGAATATGATTTACTTAATACATGATTTTTTGTTTTGAATTTTAAATATGATTATGCCTTGTGTAAATAAATCTATCTTTAATATTATAAAATTTTACATTTGTAATTGACTTTATGCCACTAAAATTTTTCGAGTCATTCAGGCTAAACACTTATAATCACATGCTGGCTGATAAATTTTTTTTAAAAAAGTGAGTTTTTTCACATAAATATAAATATTAAGCTCTATTAAATATATATAATTTGATAATAAAAAATTAGAAAATGATAGAGAAGCATGTTTGGACAGATTTAGATGATTTTTTTTTGTTTTTGTTTCATTTAATCTAATTAATTGACTTATATGCCACAAGAACGACATTTAATTTTTTTTATCAATAAAATTGAATTAGCTGTTTGAATAAATTAAATTGACTAAGCAAAGTTAGTTATTAACTCAGTTAAACCAATAAACTCAGGCAAAAATAAATTAATTTATAAATTTCCTTTTATATTTTCTGTATATAAAAGAATACAACATATTAACTAATTTTATTTTTTAAAATAATAATAATAATGATAATATAGTGGGGGCTATTAGACCTGTCAACATGGGTCGGCCCGGTCGGGTCGGGCCAACCCATATTTTATATGGACTACAAAATCTTCAACCTAGCCCACCCCTTGCTAGCCCATGGGTCGGGTCAGGCTAACCCATTTTTTTAAAAAAGAATTATTTTTACTCTTCATCAATACAAGTATACAACTATACTATGATTTAGTTCATAAATTAAATAAT